GCGACGACGATGGTGATGTCGTCGGACCGGAGCTCGCGCGTGATCCACATCTTGTAGGCCTCGCCGACGAGCGCGCGCGCGGCCTGCTCCGGGTCGTCGTAGAGCATGGCGATCTCGACGCACTGCTTCATGGTCAGGAACTCGAAGACGCCGTCGGACGCGACGATGATCACGCGGTCCGAGGGCTTGAGGTCGTGCGTGAAGACCTGGGCAGCAAAAGGGTGATTCAACGTCGCTTCAACGTGAGTGTTCCGCGCGCGCGCGTTCCGAAAAAAGCGTCCACGCTTCGAGACCGTTCCGAGAGATGATCGCTCGTCCAAAAATCAGCCGAAACGATGGAAAACGGCCGAGATCGGAGCCTTTGAAGTTGGGAATTTCGCTCTCTTGTGCTGCCCTGGTGAAGACCTCGGGCTCCGCGAAGATGCCCAAGGTCTCGGCGACGGAGTCGCCGATGGACCGCGTGAACGCCGTGCCCGGCGTCTCCAGCGAGTCGTCCCAGACGCGCGGCGGGTCGCCGACGTCGTCGACCTCCTCGCCGAGCTTCACGTCCCACGACTCTCCCAGCGGCCGCCGGCCGTGGACCTGGTCGAAGCTCAGGACCCGGGCCCCCTGCTGCTTGACGCGCTCGCGCTCGTCGGACCGGTAGGGCGTGTGGTCGAAGCTCAGCGCCTCGCAGCCGACGCCGCCGTCCTCTGTCGCCGTGCCGAGCATCGTCCGCGAATCGCCCACGTTGCTCACGTAGAGCGTGCCCCGGTCGCAGAAGACAGATATCGCCGTCGTGCCGCTGTACATGTCGTCGATGCCCGACGTCGACAGGCGCTCGTTCGTGACGACGTGCGCGTCCCGGAAGGACTCGCGGACCGCGGCCTCGTCGGCGGTGCCGTTGATCTTCAGCGACTGCTGGAGCAGCGCGGGCACGTTGTCCCGCGCGAACTCCGCGCACTCCGTGCCGTGGGGGCCGTGGCCGTCGAAGACGGCGAAGAGGTGCGTGCCCTGGCCGAGCCAGTCCGTCTTTACAAAGTACGCGTCCTGGTTCCGCTTGTCGGGGTCCGACGGGTAGTGGCCGCGCTGGGTCATCGTCGCGAAGTTGAGCAAATAGCCGTTGCCCGCGTCGACGCGCATGGCCTCCGAGGCGACGATGCCCTTCTTGAGCTCGAGCTCGCCCTGGGGCGCGTCCGGGAAGTGGTCCTCGGCGTCCTTCGGCCACTGCGCCGGGAACTGCGCGCGCCGCTCCTCGATGGACGCGTCGGGCCCGAGCCGCGGCGGCGACGGCGCCGGGGCGGGCGGCTTCGCCTTGGGGGCGGCGCTGCTCAGGCCCCCGACGATGGACATGCGCTTGAGGATCGACGGCCGCTGGTTCCCGGACGACATGGTGGCGCGCGCCGGCGGCTAGCCCGGCGCGCTCGCCGCGGCTCACGCGCGCGGCGCGGGCGCCGGCGGGCGGCCGGAACCGCTACGCGGCCGGCCGGACGACGCTGCCCGCGGCGGCACCAAAACGACGCGGGAACTAGGTGGCCATAGGCTGCCCCGCGGAGAGACAACTCGGGCTGGAGTTGTAGAGAGTTGTGTCCTTCACCAACTTGCAGCTCAACATTAGCTTGCGCAATATTACTCGAGGCGAATGAAGCTGAGGAAGACTCTGAGCGCGTGACCGCACGCAATGCCGAGCGCCGATGACGATGCTGCGCACGTCCTGCGCATCGGCGGCATGACCTGCGGCCACTGCGTCGGCGCCGTGACGTCGGCGCTCGAGGGCGTCGCCGGCGTCGCCCGCGCCGACGTCGACCTCGAGCGCGGGCTCGCGACCGTCGCGGCGGCGCCCGGCGCGTCGCTGGCGCTGGCGGACCTCGTCGACGCCGTCGAGGCGTCGGGCTTCGACGCGAGCGACGCCGCGGGCGGCGGCGGCGCGGCGACGACGCAGACGCTCGCCGTCGAGGGCATGTCGTGCGGCCAGTGCGAGACGTGGGTCCGCGAGGCGCTCGAGGCCGTCGACGGCGTCGAGGCCGTCGACGTGTCGGTGCAGGACGGCACGGCGGCCGTCGCCGGCGCCGCGGACCCGGCCGCGCTCGCCGGGGCCGTCCGCGCGGCCGGCTACCATTTGGCGGGCGACGCGCCGGAGAAGGGCGCCGCCGCCGCGCGCGAAGAAGCCGTCGCGGCGACACCAAAGGACGGCGACGACGCGACCTGGAGCGTCGTCGAGCTGCGCGTCGAGGGCATGACCTGCGCGGCGTGCGCGTCGCGCGTCGCCAAGGCGCTCCGGTCGCTCGGCGTCGACGACATCTCCGTGAACTGCGTCACGGACGTCGCGACGTTCCGCGCCCTCGGCGCGTCGCCGGCGCTCGTGACACGCGCCGTCGCCGCCGTGAAGCAGGCGGGCTACGCGTCGTCGCCGGACACGGCGCGCGTCGAGGCCGAGGGCGAGAAGGCGGCGAGCGACGACCCGCACGTCGCGAAGACGACGCTCGCGACCAAGGGCATGATCTGCCCGAGCTGCCCGCCGCGCATCCAGCGGGCGCTGAAGCGGCTCGACGGCGTGCGGGACGTCACCGTGTTCCTCGTCCTCGACGCCGTCGAGGTGCTCTACGACGCGCGCATCGTCGGACCGCGGCTTCTGGCGCACCGCCTGTCGCAGCTCGGCTACGACGCGAGCGTTCAAGCCGACGACGATGGTGTGGACGTCGCCGGCGAGGAGCGCGCGCGGAAGCTGGCGCGCGTCGCCGAGGTCCGCGCGTTCCGGCGGCGCGCGGCCGTCGCGTTCGCGCTCGCGGCGCCGGTCTTCGTGGTCATGATGCTCGTGATCCCCTACGGCGCGCGCGACGCCGTGCTCGCGCTCCAGTCCAACGCGCTCGCGGGGCGGAGCCGCTACCTCGCCGTCGAGGCGCTCGGGTCGCTGCTGCTCGCGACGCCCGTGCAGTTCGTCCTCGGCTTCCGGTTCTACGTCGGCGCGTTCAACAGCCTGCGCTACGGCACGGCGAACATGGACGTGCTCGTGGCGCTGGGCACGTCGGCGGCCTACTTCTACTCGATCTACGTGCTCTACGAGGTCTCGGGGAACCGGCCGTGCTGCCGCAAGTTCCGACAGTGCAGCGACGGCGGCGGCGGCCACGGCCACCACGGGTCCCACGCGGACGACGCGGACTGCGTCTCGGGCCACCACTTCTTCGAGACGTCGTCGGTGTTGATCGCCTTTGTTTTGCTGGGGAAGTTCATGGAGGCCAAGGCCAAGGGCCGGACGTCCGAGGCGCTCCAGGCGCTGCTGAGCCTCCAGCCGAAGATGGCGACGGTGTCGCACACGACGGCGGCGACTACGAGGAGGTCGTCGACGCGGGCAGTCTGAGTCGAGGCGACGTCGTCAAGATCAAGCCCGGCGAGGCCGTGCCCGCGGACGGCGCCGTCGTCAGCGGCGAGTCGAACTGCGACGAGAGCATGCTCACGGGCGAGTCCATGCCCGTGGAGAAGCGGCCCGCCGACGACGACAAGGAGGCCGCGGGCAAGGTCTACGGCGGCACGATCAACGCCGGGCCGGGCGTTTTATTTGCGAGAGTTACCGCAGTGGGCACGGAGTCGCTCCTCGCGTCCATCGTCAAGCTCGTGGAGCAGGCGCAGGGGTCGAAGACGCAGATCGAGGCGCTCGCGGACTACGTCGCGCGGAACTTCGTCGCGGGCGTCGTCGCCGTCGCCGTCGCGGCCTTTGCTCTCTGGTTTTCGCTCGCGGCGACGGAGGCGGTGCCCCGGGACTGGTACGACGACGAGGGGCGCTTCCTCTTCGCCTTCCTCTTCAGCATCGCCGTGCTGGTCGTCGCGTGCCCCTGCGCCTTGGGGTTGGCGACGCCGACGGCGGTCATGGTGGGCACGGGCCTCGGCGCGCGCTACGGCGTGCTGATCAAGGGCGGGCGGCCCCTGGAGGTCGCGCACAAGGTGTCGGCGGTGGTCTTCGACAAGACGGGCACGCTCACGCGGGGCCAGCCGGACGTGTCGTCCGTGGACGTCTTCGCCACCTCGTCCGCGCAAAAGGCGTCGCTCGCGGCTTCGCTCGGCGTCGCGGACGACGGCGACGGCGACGCGCTCGCGGACGCGCTGCTGGACGCCGTCGGCGTCGCCGAGGGCGGCTCGGAGCACCCGCTCGCGTCCGCGCTCGTCGCCACGGCCGCGGAGGCGCGGGGGCGGCGGGGCTGGCGGGGCCCGCGGTTCCGCGTCGTCGCCTTCGACGCGCTCGTCGGCCGGGGCGTCTCCGCGGCGCTGCGGCGCGCGGACGACGCCGCGGCGCCGGAGCTCGTGCTCCACGTGGGCACGCGGGACCTCGTCGCCGCGGCCGGCGGCGGCCGCGGCGCTCTCGGGCCCGAGCGCGACGCGCGCGCCAAGGCCCTCGAGGCCGACGGCGCGACGGTCGTCTTCGTCCACGCGGCCGTCGGCGGCCGGCGCCTCGTCGCCGACGACTTCAGGGCGACGGCGAAGAAGCCGCCGCCGGCGGGGTCGGGGGACGTCGTGGGCATGATCGGCGTCGCCGACATTATCAGGGACGAGGCCGCGCGCGTCGTCTCGCATTTGCAGTCGAACCTGGGCATCGAGGTCTGGATGCTCACGGGCGACAACGAGCGCACGGCCCAGGCCATCGCGCGCCAGTGCGGCATCTCGCGCGTGCTCGCCAAGGTGCGGCCGGACGACAAGGCGCGGAACGTGACGTCGCTCATGGACCAGGGCCACGTCGTCGCCATGGTCGGCGACGGCGTCAACGACTCGCCGGCGCTCGCCGCGGCCGATCTAGGCGTGGCCATCGGCGCGGGCGCGCAGATCGCCGTCGAGACCGCGGACGTCGTGTTGATCCGGAGCGTGCTCGACGACGTCGCGACGGCCATCGAGGTGAGCCGCGCGACTTTCGGGCGCATCAAGGCGAACCTCTTCTTCTCGCTCGCCTTCAACGGGTTGGGCATCCCCATCGCCGCGGGGGCGCTCTACCCGTTCCTCGAGGTGCGGCTCCCGCCGGAGGTCGCGGCGCTCGCCATGGTGCTCTCGTCCGTGTCCGTCGTCGCGTCGTCGCTGTCGCTGCGGTCCTACAAGCCGCCGTCGGCGTCGCCGCGCGCCGGCGACGGCGACCCGACGCTCTGCTCCTGCGCCGTGCGCTGCTGCTCCGTGCGCTTCCACTGCGGCGCGGACCGCGCCTACGCGAAGCTCTAGCGGACCCGCGCGCGCGCTCGTACCAGGTCGTTAACAGCCCCCGAGGCGGCGGTGATGACCCGCGCCTTGGCCGTGAGCGTGCGCTCGCCCATGGTCGAGACCGTGACCGGACGCAGACCTCGACTAGAATACCGTAAGCGTCCTACCCCCTCTAAACCTAGGCGCGCGCCGTCGAGCAGGAAGATGTGGCAAGAGCGGCCTCAACGTGGCCACGCGCTGAGGAAGACTCTGAGCGCGTGACCGCACGCAATGCCGAGCGCCGATGACGATGCTGCGCACGTCCTGCGCATCGGCGGCATGACCTGCGGCCACTGCGTCGGCGCCGTGACGTCGGCGCTCGAGGGCGTCGCCGGCGTCGCCCGCGCCGACGTCGACCTCGAGCGCGGGCTCGCGACCGTCGCGGCGGCGCCCGGCGCGTCGCTGGCGCTGGCGGACCTCGTCGACGCCGTCGAGGCGTCGGGCTTCGACGCGAGCGACGCCGCGGGCGGCGGCGGCGCGGCGACGACGCAGACGCTCGCCGTCGAGGGCATGTCGTGCGGCCAGTGCGAGACGTGGGTCCGCGAGGCGCTCGAGGCCGTCGACGGCGTCGAGGCCGTCGACGTGTCGGTGCAGGACGGCACGGCGGCCGTCGCCGGCGCCGCGGACCCGGCCGCGCTCGCCGGGGCCGTCCGCGCGGCCGGCTACCATTTGGCGGGGACGCGCCGA